CCCAAAATGTCAGCTCAAAATATTGAGTCGAATGTGCCGTGAACGTCAAAACCATTTTTAACCATTTTTAAGATTTTGGGTCAATTTTTTGATTGGGTGACACAATAATCCATTGCCGTTTCTTTAGAGGTCTATACAGTGCATGACCCACTGGTAACGAAAGGCCAATTTCACCTACCGGTACTCGTTATTTTTATAAAATAAAAGTCGGGTTTTATCCAGACACTGTATAATACAGTTTGGGACACCAGTTTGCATTTTCAGATGAAAACTGAGGGATTTAAGTTGTTTGAAATCTTATCACGTATATTGAGTCAGTAGTTCGGCCCTAAGGTAGAGGATTTTAAGGGCTTTTAACACAAAATTAAGCAGTTTTATTATCGAAAATATAATCGAGAGTGGCCCTTTAAGTTTCATCCAAATCGGATGAAAATTGTTGCTCTAAACGATCGACGACCTTGGTATTACATTAATGCTTTTACACAATTTGCGTAAAGGGGATCGGCCATTTGACGGGAAGTTTCGGTCAGATTTTCAGAAAATTCAGACTCACCCATAATTATGGTGTAACGGTGATATATTTGAACAGTTGTTTTTAAAACAATTTAATGTGACCTCTAGAGGGTACAATCGGGGGCCATAATCCAGAAAGTTACGGCCCAATATCGAAAAGAACCCAGATCTTAGGGATATAAACATATTTTTTAAGTTTCATCAAAATCGAATGAAAATTCTGACCTCTAGATGGTCCACAACTTTGGTATTACATGCTTTTACACTATTTGCCTAAAAGGGAGCGGTCATTATGTCGGGCAGTTTCGATCTGATTTTCACGAAAATTAAACTCAACCGATATTTGGATGTAACGGTGATATTTGAACGGTTTTTACAATCAAATGAAAATTGTGTGTCCAGAATCTCAAAATGTGATTTTTCGTACAATCAGGGGCCATAATCCAGGAATATCAACAGGAACTGAGATCTTTGGGTTATAAACATACATTGTAAGTTTCTCATCAAAATCGGATAAAAATTGTGACATCTAGTGGTCCACAACATTGGTATTATTATGCGTATATTTGTTCAGTTCAGTATCACAGGAAACCACCATCGACTGCGTTTTAGTGGTAAGGGATTTAGAAAAGAATTAAAACTTCCCTGCAGAGTAATTTCATTAGCCATAAATCGCCCAGAAAGCATCTCCGACGATCTAGATCCCCATGACACTCAGAAAGCATCTCCGACGATCTAGACCCCCAGGAGCTTCAGGGTCTTAGGCGGCCCCTGGACCCTCGCCTAAAGTCCTAGGATGGTAGCCCCTCCCCCCGCCCACATCATGAATTGCTTAAGCCAGTCCTGTGTAAGCCAGAAAAGTGCTCGGCAAAAGGGAAAATTAGCTTTCGCACAGTGCGGGCGCTATACATGTATATGTAATAGTTGCAGTATTTAAAAGACTGAAGAACCATTCCTGATAGTCTGATGGCTGATGGGGGGGGGGGGGGGTCGCCAACGAGCTGTGAATTTATGAGACCAAGTTTTTCTAGATCATGAGGGACAATAACGAGGGACAATCTACCTCGTTATTCGTTTTTCGTTATTAAACTTGTTAGTCGGGATTCAAATATGCAGCTAGTCATGACTAGAATGATGGATTCCAAGTATCCCCCGGTAGCAAAAACGACCAATAGACGAAAAGCAGTCCACATTGTTATTAAGTTGAATAACGAAAAGCGAATAACGAGGTAGCTTGTCCCTCGTTATTCGTTATTCAACGCTTGAATAACAATCTGGTTTATTTACCGACTATATGTCATTTAACCAGTTTTACACGGCTGTGGCATACTTTGCTATACATTATATTATTGTTGTCTAGTTATCGTTTTTAATTAAATAGCTAGCATCATGTTTGAATCCCGAATATCAAGTTGAATATTGAAAAACGAGACAGCGTGTCCCTCATTATTCGCCAATAACGAGGCAGACCACCCCGTTATTCGTTATTCACCGATTTACCGATTATACTTCATTTAATCAGCTAGGGGATACTTTGCAATCCAATATTCTATTGTTGTCTAGTCATCGTTTTAAATTAAATCCTGAGATATCCCTATTCAAGACACCTGAACACCTTCATATGTGAATCCCGAATAACGAGGTGATAAACGAATAACAAACAGCTCGTTTATCAATGCTTGAATAACAGGTCATTTTGCTGTGTTTTATGCTACTGGGGGATACTTGGCATCCATCATTCCAGTGATGGCTAGCTGCATATCTGAATCCCAAATAACAGGTTGAATAACGAAAAACGAATAACGAGGTAGCTTGTCCCTCGTTATTCGCCAATAACAAGGCAGGTCACCTCGTTGTTCGTTATTCACCGCTTGAATAACAATCTGGTTTATTTACCGACTGTACCTTATTTAATCAGTTTTCTACTGCTAGGTGATACTTTGCAATCCATTATTCTATTTTTGATTAGTGATCGTTTTAAATTAAATCCTGAAATATCCTCATTAAAGATACATGAATACCTCCATATGTGAATCCCAAATATAGAGGTGAAAAACGAAAATCAAACAGCATGTTATTCGCAGCTTGAAAAACAAAGTGGACTGTTTTTCGTCTAGAAGTCATTTTGCTGTGTCTTATGCTACTGGGGGATACTTGGCATCCATCATTTTAGTCGTGGCTAGCTGCATATTTGAATCCCGAATAACAAGTTGAATAACGAAAAACGAATAACGAATAACGAGGTAGATTGTCCCTCGTTATTCGCCAATAACGATGCTGGCCACCCCGTTATTCGTTATTCACCGCTTGAATACCAATCGGGCTTATTTACCAACCACACTTCATTTAATCAGTTTTCTACTGCTAGGGGATACTTTGCAATCTATTATTCTATTGTTGTCTAGTGATCGTTTTAAATTAAATCCTGAAATATCCTTATTAAAGATATCTGAACACCTTCATATGTGAATCCCGAATAACGAGGTGAAAAACGAATAACAAACAGCTCGTTATTCGCTGCTTGATTAACAATTTGGACTGTTTTGTCTAGACGTCGTTTACTCGTTTTACTGTGTTTTATGTTACTGGGGGATACTTGACATCCATAATTCTAGTGATGGCTATCTTCATGCTTGAATCCCAAATAATAAGCTGAATAACGAATAACCAGGTGGCGTATACGTCGTTCAGTTAACTAATCGTGACTCTTGCAACTGGGGGATCGGTATAGTGTATGGCAGGTTTTCTTTCTGAAAGTCTACATTCAAGAAGTCTCACTTCTATGTTAAAATGAGGCCTCTTCCAGTTACGTCATTGTATCTAACCGAGTAGTTATATTGCGTGCAATAACCTAGAGAAAGGAGTTCTTGCGGCCAAATTATATAAGTGATAATAGGGCCTAACCGCGTACAATCCGTGTGATTTGATGATAAAAAAACATATTCAAACTAATTTATCTATTAAAAGTTGACGTTTAATCGAAAAAAAGCCCCAAAAAACAACTATCCCATGCCGTGAGATTTATTTTTATCAACCGCGTTTATCCATTGATTTGATTGTGAAAGAATCCATTTCTTGCTTGTATTTGTGGTTAGGCGCTGTCCATTTACCATAAATATGGAAGCCTATCCTGGGTTATGCTCTGCCAACTTCTTTTCCGTCGTTTAATCGAATTGGACGTTTAATTATTTCTTGCTTGTATTTGTGGTTAGTCGTTGTCCATTTACCACAAATATGGAAGCCTAATAATTCCTGGGTTATGCTCTGCCAACTTCTTTTCCGTCGTGTTATTGAATTGGACGTTTAATTATTTCTTGCTTGTATTTGTGGTTAGTCGCTGTCCATTTACCATAAATATGGAAGCCTAAATTCCTGGGTTATGCTCTGCCAACTTCTTTTCCGTCGTTTAATCGAATTGGACGTTTAATTATTTCTTGCTTGTATTTGTGGTTAGTCGCTGCCCATTTACCATAATTATGGAAGCCTAATAATTCCTGGGTTATGCTCTGCCAACTTCTTTTCCGTCGTTTAATCGAATTGGACGTTTAATTATCTCAATGTTTTCATAACCGCGTAGCCATTTCACCAAAAGCGCCCCTTACGTCAGTCGAGGAGACCGTCTGCCTTTTAGCGATAGGCCTACCCTATTATTGTCTTGTGCGCGCCACATGAGTGTTTTCCAGGGAATCCTGGCAAAGTACAACGTGTAGTCGTTCGGATGGGGCAAAAAATCAAAGCTCTATTTACTCTGAACAAAAAGGAAATTAGATTTCACTTAAAGTAGTCTTTTACTAAAGTAGAACAGGACGGAGGGCTTGACAAGGACAGCTGTCTAGTCGTTCGGATGGGACGAAAAACCGAGGTCCCGTGTAGGCTACACATTGGCGTGCATATAACAGATCCGTTGACAGTTGGAATTCGATATAAGAGTAGGCCGTAGTGCCACTGTCCGGGCAAAATTTCCCTCATAGCACACTGTATGGCATAGTTATGCCCGTCTTCATTAGCCCAGTTCAGAGCAGAACAGTAGGACGTTAAACCCCATTGCATTTCATTTAGAAATAAGGCCTATTTGGAATCTAGATATCCTCTAGAATTATTTGTCAATATAACTCAAAAACGTGAACAATTCTGATAAATTTCACGCGATCGCTCTTTTTTAATTACCGTATATATAATTTCTTGTCGCTTTAAAAGTATTTTGGGACTTTAAATTAATGTCCTTTCTTTATTTAACATGGGCGATGGATTTATTTATGACAAATTATACATTTTCGAAGAAAAGACAGCGTCCTCAGTCAAGCACTAAGTTGGAACATAAACGGCTTTTTTTCCAGGAAATTGTAGGCCTGATGGAGTTTAATCGACAACAGCATATACTAACGGTCTGTTAATTATAACGGGCACCTGTCTGTCGTCTGCAGCGCACTATTTCCTGCGCGCAGTAATATAACAGTTTTGCGGCCATTCATTTGCGGAGGTGGATATGTCAAAATGCCGGGGTCGATTTGACACTCAGTGTTTCATTTCTTTAATGTTTTAAGTTTAACGTTACTGGCATTATGATAAGCATGGACCAAGCCCCGGGTGTGATCCCTCTTACCCCAGAGGCTGACAAAAGACAAAGATTATTGCGTGCCGTTAAGAAAGAGGTAAGCGAAACAACTGTTGTTGAAATGTAGGCTACCATACCATTCTGACTGTTACGTCGAAGACCAAGATCATTATTATGATTCCAACAAGTTCCATTAATAATTTATCATTAATTATCTCAGATTGTATTCGTACGTAGATGTATTTGCTAGATCAAAGACAGAAAATTCTAAAAAAGAAAGAATAAATTATTTGTTTATTGCATTTATATTGATAATTTTATTTAGATGGGATTGGGATAGGTAATTTTAAAATTTAGCTTATAAACAATAAAACATGATGATGATATTGATGATAATTTTATCTTAATCTTAAACACGGAAAGAAAACAAACCAAAAAAAGTGCAGTAAAAGCAAGGCAGGACTTTTCCTTCAAAGATTCTTGTGCCATGAATCATTTAATTCTCATTTTGTACATAATGTATGTGGCAAAGATTGAAAGAATCTAATCCTTATTTTGACAGGTCAATATTTAAGTTTAAGCTCAGTTTTTGTTTTGAATTCCACCTTAATGTTGCTAAAAGCGGCCACCCCAATTTGAAAAATATCTTATTAAATGTGAAATCAAAAGTTTTTGGGAGGTTAGTCCCCTGAACCCCAATCAGGGCGTTGCTCTCTACTGCTGCTACTACGTTCCAATTGGAACCTGAGTCTTTAAGGGAAGAAGATAGGCCTACAGCATACTCCAGACCCATAGCCTTTTGCGTGATGTTGTATTTGCAGCTGAAAATTTTTAAGAAAGTACCGGTAATGATTGAAAAGTAATCGTGTATTGGTCATTGTCATTTTCTACGGGAGCAGGTCGTTTCATCCCACTACCGTTTCATCTCGGGCTGTTTCATCCGTGCTGTTTCATCCCAAATTTACACGGGTCCTTTCATCCCACTTATATCGGGTCGTATCATCCCACAAATTTAAAAACCGGTATTACATGAATTTTTAATATTTTATTTATACATTAATACAAATAACAACATGCCAATGCAATTTTATCATGAATAGTGTCCAACTCCTTCTTTTGAATACCCTTAGCTTATTTTCCGAATATTTTATTTATACGATGTCAATGCAATTTTAATATGAATTGTGTCCAACTTCTTTCTTTGATTACGCTTTAGTTTATTTTCCGAATCCACACCAATTTTCGACACCTATTTCACTAAAATTACATTGGCTTACAATCGAGTGATGCTCATAGCAAAACATTCAACTTGTAATACACTGTATAGTCATTTACATGCATGTTGGTTTCACTATAACAGGATTGCCAGTGATAGAACAGATCAAAGGATAAAATCCATAGCCACTATTTCGACACATGTTATCTTTAGATGTTCAGACTACCTGGCGTCTCAAATAACCCAACGTCCACCTTACAACAGGTTCCACTGATTTACGATTTATTTTATAACTTATCACACAGTTTAGACCACAATGTGTTACGATTCGCATTTTGGTATTCTAAATGAATTCTTATATGGATTTCTTATATTTGGAGATGTTTAGTTTCATTTCGTGTACGGAAATTAAATCAACGATCAGTTTTAAAATTAATTATGGTTTCGAAATAGTATCAATCTAATTTGTCTTATTTAGAGGGACTCCTGCGCAATTTAGTTGATTATTTGGTAATACGTAGAGTCCATGATGTATTTTTGGCGAGTGATTCAGCTGTCAATAAGTAATTATAAAACACCTTTTTATAAAGAAGATAAATGATGTTAGACATCATAAACTAACAAACAATACGAGTATAATTATTACAAAACCATCGGTGAACTAATCTAAAATCATAACAGAAATTAACTAACAATACGAATAAACAATACGAATATACAGCGGTGAACTAATCTCGGCCGTGATCGGTAATCAACAAAAATCGATGAGGAAAACTTATTTATTCCATACATTATTGTTTATTTAACAATAAGTAAGTGTTTAACAGTTTATTTAACGATAAGTACAACTCAGGTAATTGACTGCTATTATAATAACAAGGGGGATGAAACAACCCGGATGAAACAGCTCGATAAAAAATCAGGTTGGGATGAAACAGCCCGGGGTGAAACGGTTGTGGGATGAACTGCCCCGCATCATTTTCTAGTACACATATTAATTGCATTTAATGCTTAATTCGAATTAAGCCCAAATAAAAGGGGACTCATATTATCAGATTATGGAAAATGTTGAAACTTTTTGACTAGTCAATGTGACTCTCACCCTCACTGCGTCTTATTGATCGGGTGGGGGATGGGGAACTAGGCTACGTGCCAATTGTTCCCACACTTTTTATGGTCTGTATTTAGAAAAATCCATATAAAATAAAATCAGAAATCCCAGTAGTATTATTACTGTCTTTACTTGCCCAATAAGTAAAATATAAAAAGCAGAAAGAACAAATGCTGTGAAAGAAATGCAGCATTTTTTGTTTCTTTCTTTTTACGTTCTGCTTGACCAGACTTTTAAAGATACATTATGGGAGATTCGATAACGAGTTGGCAGTTCTCACTATAATAATTAAAAACTAGATAACGTAAAGGCAATTTGCTGAAAATTTCATTCAAATTGATCCACTATGAACCGAGAACTAAACGAATGAAATTTCTGCCTAGCTTCGGTCATCATTACTAAAGTCAGTACGTTAAACAGCATAGTCTCGATTATCCATTTAATCGTTTAATCGAGACGGAAAGTTATGCAGTAAATCGGATTGCAGTTCACTTAAGATCGCAGGCTAGCGATGCCATCTTGAGTTGATTATGGTCTGGATAAGTTAATTAATGTCTAATTAATAATTTAGATGACATTTCTGGCCTAAAGAAAGGCCTGCAATAGACAGATTTAGCTCTTGCATAATGTATGTTTAATAAATCAGTTTTAATAAAGAGACAAGACCGGCTTTTGTAGTTTGCCTTTGTGGTTTACAAGTTGGACCAACTGTATCTTATCAGCTGCTCTATTTCCAGGTACAACATGTTTTGGTTTCGTAGAAAGCAGGGGACAGCTAAAATCTGTTCATCTGTCTTATGTGTCACACTTTTTGGGAAACAATTCAAAATCATGAATATTCACCAAAACCCGACAGAAAATGTATTTTCAAACCCTTTTCTTCTATTCTAAACGAAAAAGTCAACAAAAATCGCCAAGCAAAAGTGGGGAAAGGAAGAGAAAGAAAATAACTTTCGCCCTACATTCGTGGGTGACGGCACAGGTATATTCATATTGAAGGCAGCATTTGAGTTCTGTGAAAAAATTAGACAAGTACATGTATACTGAAACATGTATCCCTACACAGCCTAAACATGTCACTGACTGAATCAATCTAATCTTTGGTTGTAGAACTAACATTACCAAAGGAATCTGTCCAAGAGCTACATGTATGTTTACCGCCCCCGTCTAACATATATGTAGATAAAAACTAATATATGTGCAAGAAATATGAATTGTGGTTAAAAATAGGCCTTTATGAAGGGAAAAATGTCATATTTGGTCTATAATCACCCCTTTCTAACAAAAGGGTCTCATAATACACAATTTTCACAAATTTGGGAATATTTCAATGTTTCCAACATCTCAAACCTCAGAGGCATCATACAAATCTTTATTGCAATTTTTGTGCAGAAGCAAGATGTCTGGACCTTCATATCAATTTTCTGAAGAAATGAAGTAAAAAAGTAGTTATAACAGAGTTGACAACATAAAAGAGGCCTGAAAAGGAGCAAACATTTTACTGTTCTATAAGTAACATAAATGTAACAAACACCACAAATCCTAAATTTCGATTAGAAAATATTGACCATTCAGCTGACATTTACATGTACATACATGTATCCCTCGTTAATAGTGTAAAAATATGGTTTATCAAGGTTGTGGACTCTCTAGAGGGCACAATTTTCACCCGATTTTGATGAAACTTGAAATGCATGTTTATAACCCAAAGATCTTGGTTGCTTTCGATATTCGCGCATATAAGAACGTAACTTCCTGAATTATGTCCCCTGATTGTACGAAAAATCGTGTTTTTAGCTTGTGCTCCCTCAAGAATTCACAATTATTATCTGATTTAAAAAAATGTTCGAATGTGTCACCATTACACCGTATTGTTGGTTGAGTTCGAATTTCATGAAAATCGGACCAAAACTACCAGACAAAATGACCGTCCATCTATGCAAATAGTGTAAACATCTGGTATATCAAGGTTGTGGACCCTCTAGAGGTCACAATTTTGATCCGATTTTAATGAAATTTGAAATGCATGTTTATAACCCAAAGATCTTGGTTCCTGTCGATATTTGCACATAGCTTCCTGAATTATGGCCCTTGATGTTACGAAAAAATCGCTTTTTGTTTAGCTTGTTCTCTATCCATCTCTTTAAAATGTGGTTGGTTTCTTACTTTTAATGAGATACATGTATCTATATAAATGGATTATTGTAGCCGCTGGTGTACTTACTGGTATTTTGTGGATTGGATGTTAAAACACATTCAACATTTTCCTTTTATTATAGACAATCCTTGCCACAAATTCATATTATAAGCTCTTGTCTAATGAAAAAATAATAACAAACTGAATTAATATGATCGTACATGTGGTATAATTTGAGACAGTTCCATGTGTACATGTATTTTTACCAGGAATATTTGTTTGTCATTAATTGGTTTTCAACTTATATAGGTAAAACAAATTATGGAAGAAGCCGTAACACGTAAATTTGTTCATGAAGAAAGCAGTAGTATTACAACATTATGTGGTAAGTATTAATGGACACTATATGTAGTTTCTTTGGTTTTTTGGGGGCTAATTTCTTAAATAAACTTCTTAGTATCTAAAGATGAAATATGTCTTAATGGCAGTAACAGTTGACTGTTATCTAAACAAGATGTATCTTTTAAATAACTAGATTTACTTTAATTACAAATACATGTACTCTCTGAAATGATGCCATTATCATTATGAACCCAGATAATCATTAATCTATTGGTGATTTGCCTGGAGAACAGAAAGTGATTGTGTATAGTACAATGAACCAGAATATTGGCATGGGATATTGTGACAAAATGGGAACATATTAAACATTTTCCTCATTTCATGTATAATATATTTCTTTGTGATGTAATATTTTGTCAAAGCTCTTAAAGGAGCTAAGTCTTTAACTCAATATCATCCACAGTCGTCGACATTGCAAACACGACTTATTGGTCCATTTGAAGCAAAATTGTTGTTATCTTACTGTAAAAGTCTGGCTTCTGATATGAAATATTTAAGACAATAGCCCTGTTACAATAGCACAGTACCAGGCCATGATACCTTTCAAGAAATTGACCTGTTTGCATTTACTACAATAACCAGTTTCGGAACAATGCCAGGCACGCCAAATGTGGAACTCTTTCACAGAATTTCAGTCCCTATGTAAATTACCCAGATGGAAACAGTTATGGCGGTTAATTTAGTTAGGGCAGCCATTTTGACAGAAATGATGAAAGAACTGTAAGTTCGCGGAAATAAAAGTCAGCACCGTGCCGAGACAAACTCACTTCAGTGGGCCAAATTGGCACGGTACTCAGTACGGCATGCTTATGTTTGACCCGTTTACTTTACACTACAAAAAAATTAACCGTGCTTTGCTTGGCACTGTAATGTAAATGGGGTTAAAATAGAAGTTATAGAATTGGCACACGAATCGTCTGCCAGAATGTTTTCAGGTGCCAGTTGAACGAGGTTAAACATATCCCACGTAGGAGAATATGACCAGTGTAGAATTGAATAATCAGATACCAAAGACTGCCATTTATTTCAATTCAGACGCTTGGGGTATTTCACTGAACATTTATAACTGATTAGAGATTAGATATGAGAAGAGGGGCAGCAACTCTCCCTTTGTTAAGGTGACTACAGCTGGAGAGACTGATACATCTGTGTGGGTACTGGATCAAGCAAAAGATAACAGAGGGGCAAAGGAGTAAATAAAAAGGAATTTAAGAATCCCTGCTCAACATGATTAGAGATCACAATAAAAACAGAAACGATTGTCGATTGATTTTAAATCAGTTTATATACATTCATATTTGTTATATATTATCTGAAATGAACTTAGCTAGCCTATCTCTAAGATACTCAAGGGAATATTTCATGAATAATTTATTTTCAGGAGCTGTTGAAGCATGTCTTCTAGATGGTCTGAAGAAAAGAGCTTTGGGATTATTTAAAAACAGTACAACAGTAGCTCTATTCCAGAAATGTGCCAAACATTGCACATCCGCCGCCACTGTGGCAAAGCTTGTGGTGGAAGCTGAATCAAATAACGACTCAATAACTAGTATCAAGTAAGTTTATTAAAATTTGTTCATTGGGACAAGGAGCACAGAAAAATATTTACAGGGACTGTCTTATACTATAGACACATAAATAAAGCATAAATGTAATTAAAATCAGATCATATTCAAAATAAAGTTATACTCATCGACTTATGCAAAATCCAAGAATTCCAAGCACTGATAATTTAGTAGAGTGAGGAATTTTTCACAAGACTTTGTTAGTTAAGTCGTTTGTGTGTAGCAGATTTGTCTCAAAGTTTGCATACAATCTAATTTGAATATGCCTGATGTTAGGTACATGTAACTAACTGTTTAATCAAATTACATCAATTGAAAAATATTTTTTCACAAATGGTGAAGATATCCAAAACTCATATGTCTTTTCAAACAGAATTATTGTTTCCACCAGTATACCCTTCAATAGAAGTACACTCTCCGGGTCCATTTTGATTAGATTCTAATGAAAAGGACGCTCTAAGGAATATTACTGAATTGCATTGATAATAAATCTGTAATTGTTAAAAAAAATCAATATATTATGAGCTTACCTATTATACTGTTCATATCATAGGATGTGTATCAGTTAGCAGCAAATATTATTAGTTTTGCATTGTTAATCAGATACAACTCACACATAGGCAAACACATTAGTTAAACGCAGCACAGTTCCTGGCAAACAAATTCAAATATGAAATCCATCTGATGAATTTATAAACACCTGCATTTTAAAAGTGGCCGTATATAGCCATCATCCATATCCATTTACATTTTTATTGTCCCCCACCTTTCGAAGAAAGCAGGGGTCTATTAAAAGGTGTCTGTCTGTCCGTCACACTTTTTGGTACACAATAACTCTCCTTCTAATTGAGCTAGAGCGGTATGGAAGGGTATCGCTGCCAATATTAATTTCTCTGATATTGATTACGTGTAAAAAGTACAATGTACAAAGTCTTAATACCGGTAATGATAAAGTCAAAGTACCTCTAAGGCCAAAGTTAAATGTAAAACGTCAAATGCAATATGTCAAATGTTTTATTGGAAAATGCTGTTTTGACGTGTCTACATTTGACATTTCCCTCATCCAATTTTACATTTGCATTCTGCTGCATTTCATTTGTCCTTCTCGCTTTCTACATAGCATCTTATGCAAATATAGGATATCACCTGACTTAACATATGGGTCATTCCATGAAGTTGACACCTAAAGTGTGACATGGGCATTAAAATTTCAAAATGTATTTGGAGAGTAAATAACACATTGTTTGTTTTGTTTTGAATGTTTCCTGATGTACCAATGTGGTAAAAATATAAAAACTTTACAATTTTCTGTAAAAACGCTGACATACTAAAGTGAATGTAACTATTGTCCTCTTTTTCTTCTTGTTAAGATAAATAAATCATAGTCAAAGGCAACTGAGTACTCAAGACTAAAGTATCTATCATTTGGTGGTATCAAAATGTAAAAAGATGTAATTTATTTTACAACATCTCTCAAAATGAGTCTGCGGGTAACAATGATCAAAAACACACATTAAAGTTCTATAAAACAATACTCTTAAAAAAAATGCGAAATCAATTCCTAATATTGTACATCTATTTGCCTTGTACAGTTTTTGACCTGTTGATTGTACCATCTAATAAAACAAAAAAATTAGATATCCTGGGTAAAAAGAGTTGGTAACATTGACCACATCAAATTCCCTTGGAATTGTGATATATTGTTAATAAGTCACGTGATATCCTGCATTTGCATATCATAGTTAGTGCTCTGCGTAAGATGCTATGCAGAAAGCGTGATGGTCAAATGAGATGCGGCAGAACTCAAATGTAAAATGCAATGAGGGAAATGTAAAATGTAGACACGCCAAAAACAGCCTTTTCCAATCAAACATTTGTCATTTGACACATTACATTTGACTTTTTACATATAACTTTGGCCTTAGAGGTATTTTGACCTCATCATTACCAGTTTTAGGACTTTGTACATTGTACTTTTTACATATAATCAATTGAAAAGACATTAGCAGAGCATATAATATTGGCAGCGATACCCTTCCATAGAACGGTGGTTCTCAACCTTTTTTTTTGCCAACGGCACACCTTGGAACACATAGATATATATAATATATATATGCTAAATATATATGATGAAAAATATTTGAGTTTTGCAAAATAAAAACATATTAAGTCAGACGGCATACAACCATAGACGGTGACTAGTCATAGACACCATCTTCAATAGAAGGCTTGATCTCGCTTTAACTATATATACATCTTATCAAGGCCTCCACGTAATACCCTGCATATTTCGATTCGGTACAAGCCCAACTTGTGAGCCTATCAGATTCCTCGATTGTCGCAAATACCAAGTCTCGTGCTTTCAAGCTAAAATGTCTACCTGTGATAATCGAGTTGCAAAGTTCAAGGTTTGTTCAATGTCAGTGTTTCCGTGACGGTCACAATGTCACAACCTCTGATTGGACGCTACTGCTCACGTGTCTGTAGATAACGTAGTTATAAGTTCGGGAATTGTGAAGTACATGTAATCTAGCAACGCCCAGATCTTTTAAAACTTGCAGTCGTTGCTTCAGGGTCATGCATAGATACATGAATGACTCAAACTAAAAGAAAAACACAGCCATGAACTTATCAGTAGACACCAGTGAATACTCAGTTGGGATCACATGGTTTTTCGCACTTAGGAAGGTCTTGTGTGCCGCAGCACACTGGTTGAGAATCACTGAGCTGAGCTTTAGTTCTAAGTGAGAGTGATGAAACTTGGTGTATAGTTTCATTACATCAATACCTTGACTAAGTTTGATAATGAACATTTTCTGCTCAGGGTAAGCAGAGCGATAAGCAAGTTGATTGGTCGAGACTTTGGAACACAATAACTCTCCTTCAGCTAGAATGTTCACATTTGGTGTTGGTGTTTATTAGGTGAATGCCTTGATAGAGTTCGAAGATGAGCATTTTCTACTTAGGGTGAGCAGAGATAAGCAATTTGATTGAATTATGCTTTGGGACACAATAACTTTAATTCTAAATAAGTGAGAGTGATGAAAATTGGTGTATAGTTTCGTTACATCAATTCTTTAGCTGTTTTTCTATTCACCAATAATGGAAGCAGTTGCTCGGGTGATACGGGGGGGGGGGGGGGTCACGGTGGCTAAGTGGGTAAGACGCTGGCTCGCCAGCATGTAGGGCGTTTGTTCGATCCCTGCATTTCCCGAGAAAGTTCATCCCGATTTTCCGTCGTGGTTCCCCCTTGTCAGTGATGCAGGACGGAGGGTCTGACAAGTACAGCTGTCTAGTCATTTGGATGGGACTAAAAACCGAGGTCCTGTGTACACATTGGCATGCACGCAAAAGATCCCTTGACGGTTGGAATTCGATATAAGAGTAGGCTGTAGTGCCGCTGTCCGGGCAAAATTTCCCTCATAGCACATAGTATGGTGTATGCCCGTCTTCATTAGCCCAGTTCAGAGCAGAACAGTAGGACGTTAAACCCCACTTCATTTCATTTTTGGTGATACAGCAATGTGCCGTTCCACCAAGACCCATTTTGTGCTCCAGTCCCCGATTACTATATAAAGGGAACATCCATACAATCTTTTTCAAATTGCTTCAGTTGAAAGACGTCTTTTTATCTGCAATATCACCTCGGTGGAAGCGGACCAGGGCTTCCACTTCAAAATTTTCACTGCCGGTCATTTTTGATAACGCACGAAAACTTTTCAAAGTAAATTCATATTTCATGTTTTTTATTCATGGTAGGGCATTGTGAATTCACGTGTCTATACCACTTTGTCACCATGGTGTGCACAAAAAAAATATATTTGACTTAAAAATGAAATATTGGTAAGGCTCATGATAATTATTTAATAATTAAATATACCGTTTTGGCTACTTAAATAACATGATAGTTGAATTGGCCGGAGAAAAACCATTTCAGTAGCTCACACGTAATTAACACGTGCTCTATAGAAAACACACTGACCTGGATAATTTTGAGTTGTAATACAATAACTTTGAAATGAAGATAAATATATAATTATCCATGGCATATATCTCACATTTATTTGGTTTTAGACCATCTCTCACGGAATTACGGGCCGCAGAATTGTGACGTAAATCCTAATAATGTATAACTAAATGACTAACGGATAACTAACTTCACGGCTAGCGACACTAGCTAGCGCCCCCTAGAATATGGTCGTGTATAAGAGTAACCGTATATACACGACATTTCTTCTACACGTGGAATTATCAATATTGCTGCACAATAGAACTGGAATACGTATTTTTCTTAATTGTTCGGTAAGCAAGTTAACTAATCTCTAGATTTTATTTCAACAATTTCCACAAGGCCGTAATACCGCTATAAACATTTTTAAATGCATTTTTCTCCCAACACGTACGTTGTTGAGGACTTACGCAATTTCTATGCTTTTTTTATTTTATATGACAGTTGGTTGGATTCGAAGAGCAATAAGAGCAATACTTCATATCAATTGCCCTTTTTCAAAGATCATAATGACCTCGTTTACATTGTGCCTGACCGTAATAGCGGTAAACGGCTTTGTTGTTGAAAATTCTTATGACACGTGGACAATATGTGAATGATTAACAATGGGCCGCTTCACGCCGTTGATTAGATTCCCACTTATCAATTAACATGTTTTGTTCTACTACCAGACACTCATCATTAATTATCAACACACCACTCAGTATAATCTGTTGACGACTATATATACAACTCTATAACACCAATCACGAGATTGGCTTCTAGACGACGTGCAATTCTTGTATAGTTACAGTGAAGGTCGATCATAGCCATGTTTGATTTTTTTTTTTTTTAAAAAAAAAGACCCTCTTTCCGGCGTGCAAAATGACCGTTGGGTCATATCTAGGAATGGTCATTTTCCATAGCCGTAGGTCTCAACCGGCATATATGGCCGACGTGAAACCCAAGAAGCGGACGTAAAATACAACTAACTCACACACAC